ATAGTTTTTTCTTGAATGTTGACAGTCAACTTTATATTAGCTACATCAAAGAAGGGAAAAATATAAAACAACAGGCAATTGGATATTTTTATATTTAAAACACATCAAATATTATTCACTTAAATCAGAATGTTAAGAGTGGTGCAGGCATGCTATTCCTGTCTTTGTGTTGTTCTTTTTAGGCTTCTAACATCAAAATCTATGGTGATAGTCTCATAATTCTGTGTCTAACAAATGCTTATATGATTTCTAATTATCTTTCTAAATTTCTGTAAAACAATATAATGAAAACAGTTTAAATATTGTCTACCTTTCATATTAATACATACATGCAAAAATTATTTTTTTTCTTGGGAAGTAAAGCCATGCACAAGCTGTTTAAATAGATTGTAAACAGTGGTAACATTTTGCAAAATTGTCATCTTGATTCTACATAACTTGTGAGCTGTCAACTGTGGCAAAGAATAAAAGAAGTATCAGGTACTTCTTAAGGAGAGGAGCTTCTTCAAAATTGCTTTGTGTTAAAAGGCTAAAAACTACAGTTCTGATCAAGATTTTCTTTTGTATACTTGAACTCCCCACTTAGTATTGCAGCTCTTTTTTCAAATATTTTATAGTGATTTGCTGCAACAAAACAGTTGCACATAATTGCACGGTTGTTTACTACAGATCCTTCCTTCAACTCTTCTACTGTTTGATTATATCTAAGATGATTTGGAGGCAGCATTTACTTTCTGGTAACATTTAAAAAGGCAACTTATGATTTTGTAAGGATTGGTGAAAAATCAATAATAACTGATATTCTTATAACAAGCCTGCAATGTGGAAGGTAAGTTGGGGGCAAAAAGTTATTTTCTTTGAATTAAGCAGAGTCTCTTGTAATACATACTAAAAGTGCTCAATTTTATGATGGACGACACTTTTGAAATATAGACTGTAAGTACTGTAAACTTCACACTGTTTTTCCTTAACAATCTGAATGGTCAATTGAATTCAGGATCAAGACATTGGATTATATTTTCTAAATTCATATCTGAAAATGTCATTTATCTGTCACAAAAAAAGTATTCTAGAACTTTTTTTTCATGTCACTATTTGAAAAGCTGTATCCTAACAACGAAGGAACATAAAGTTTAACTGTACAGAGAATTGAGACTGTACACAGATTGGAATTGAAATGAGAGAAGAAAAAAATTTCTTTAAAAAAATGTCAAACATAAAGTAATCCTTTGTAAAAATTTTTTGAACATGATTTTGCAGTATATGGGAAATATCTTTCTTATATTTCTCAGATAGAACCCAAAGAAGAATAAGGATCCAGGTCATGAACTTTTACATAGCTTTGAATTAATCCTTTTTTAAAATACATAATTTGAAATTTGCAAAAATAAAATTAAAGAAAAATATTTCTCTTATTCAGTTCTCAGTTACCAAAACAATAATACTGTCTGGGAGTTAATACTATTTATTGTTTTCAGACATTTGATATTTTAAAATACCTAGTATACATTAAAAAATTAGTAAATGAAGTAATTATATAATATTTTAATACAATATATGCAGATAAGTTCCCATGAACTTAATTTATACAAAATAATTTGAAAACACAGAATGAAAAAATTTTCTAGATAAAATAACTATCTCAAAACCATGTTTACTGCTTTTTAAGACTGTCAATCTTGCCAACATTTCTCATTTAAAAAGTTTTCAGATCCAGGTAAAATTCTCAAATAAAATGTGTTGGCAAGTTTATTGAGATCTCATTTTCAGGATATTTCAGAATGTCAGCATGAAGTACGGTTATCTTCTTATCTGTTGGCTATTGGTTGTAATCCTGTTTTTAGTGATACTACCTAAAAATTTATACTCTTTGGTAAGTGTTTGCAGATATTTGCAAAAGGTTTTAGTGGATTGATGCATCTTGAAAAGGATTCACTCTGTTTTGGCATTCTTTTTAGATATCTTGGCAAAAAAAGGCAAGGGATACAATCTTGAAAGTGTTAAGTGCTAATGTACCATTTTTAAATTTAGAAGGATATTGTTCCTCAGAATGTTTCAATTAGGTCTTCCATTCCAGAGGTGAGAGCCATATAATGGCTGGAGGTGGTATAATGCTGACAGTTGCAGCATTTACTTTTTAATGGATTTCCTGTGAAATTCCTGAGTTATGTGCTAAGTTTCCCACATAGTGAAAATGCCAAGATGTGTAAGCCTCAGCAATTTATCCTATAAGCCATCAGGGAATGTTAAATTAAATTTTGCCCTTTTCAAAGATTTCAGGGTTAATTTCAGATTCATCATCATAACTGCAGTTCTGATGTTAAACAGCAGCACTTTCTTAAAAAAAGAGTCTAAGAGAATTGAATATTTTCTTTCAAAGTACAGCTGGATAAGAAGAAGGTACAGTTTCCTGCTTTCTACACAATGCTTCTGCACAATTTCTACACAATCACCTTATGCATGAAGATCTGACATCAGCTCAGACCATTCAATTAGAAATTTTAGCCACCTCATTCACACAATGAAAGCCATAAGTTTTGTCTTGGATGTCAACCCAGTGCACGGGAACATTTTCAAAAGGGATTTTTAATGAGTGTCCATTGCAGAAGTCACTCCAGCCAGAAAGGCCAGCCAGAAATGGCAGATTTTGTCTTGAACTTTGGCCTCTGAAGGACTTTTGCTTGACTCTGCACCAGAGAAATATACCTTCCTCTCTTCTGGATTCACAACTTAAACTTTTCTTAGTTGTAGGTGGCTAAACTCTTTCTATCATAAGTTGAGTAGGTGTCATTCCTTTATTTCAAACTCAGCAGGAGAAAGGAATGTTTGAAAGGAAGAGTATAACAGTCAGAATACGATTACCCTTTCCTTCCCACTTGCGTATTCTCTTATTTATGCAAAGGATTAGGGAAGAGGGCATTTTTTCAGGATTTGGGGGATTCAGGTTCAGTTCTAACCCATGACTGAGAGAACTCATGTTTGCACTCATTTGCATTAAACAGAATTTTACATTAAGAGAATTTTACATAAAGGTATTGAAGTAGTCACTGAAACAGGAACTACCACTGAAGCCTTTCCTCTACCACTGTGTTCTCCAATCCCTACTCTACAGAACAGTCCACATTCTCCCTCTTTCCCTTTCTCCTGCTCTGCCTCTGTCAACTGCTTCTCTGCAAAGTGGAACAGGATCAATAGGTGGAAACTGCAAGTGTTTTAACCTTGAAATGGTCTAATGCCTGTAGGTTACAGCCCTTTGCCGAGACACTGAAGCTTAAATCTCCTCCGGCAGAAGACATTATTGAATTGATGCTCTCAAATGTGTCTGACATTCAGGTCTAATGCTCCAGCTGATGACTGGCTGCACAGAAGAAAGTTGTAATGTCTGCCATGTGTTCTTTAGCAGTTACCACTTTTTTTTGAGGAACTTGATTTTTTAGGGCCTTTCAGAGCACACCTACTGGATTGATGACCTTACACATGGAGTACTTGAGTATGGATTCTGATGGGATCCAGGACTAAACCAAGCACCAATGTTTTTAGCAGATTTTCTACTGACTATGGCCAAATGACAAACCTATAAAGTTTAATGTGGAAAACTGAGTGTCTTACGGCTCACAGTGCCTTCAGCCCTGGAGGTTGGAAGCTGAATGCAGATTTTGATAAACACTGTTTCAATTTATGTTCCCAAAGAACTAGGTAGAGCGAGGTGCTTAAATATTTTATGGATCTAATCTCCAAATGCCAGGTTTGTATGAATATTGGAGATGTAACAGTATACAAATAAAGCAGAGGTCTTGATTTGGGAGATAAATTAGACCATTATATATTGACTGACGATCTACCACTAATCACACAAAATCAGAAAATGATCAAGAGATATTTACAGTAATTCTAGGTGCTCTGTCTTTACAGTAATTCTAGGTGCTCTGTCTTCCTTTTTTTAAATCTTATTTTTCCAGATCTCACTGGACTGGAGATTAGTTATTAAGAAAGCAAAATGCAAAGGGCTAGATTATACCTCAGATTTGTTTTGGGTGACAGCAATTGTCAGAGGCCTGTCACAACATCTCAGGCTATGGGATGTGTTATTTAGTTAATATATTTCTCCATTACATGGAAAACTTTTAAGTTAAAGTACATGATAAAAGTGGTTAATTGATAGACTCCAAAAGTGAGACTCCTCTTCCTTACTTCCATATTTCATCCATATTCCAACTGTCACACTGAGGAAAGGCTAATTTCTCAGCACACTATTAGCAGCTGAGAATTCAGTCAGACAGAGGGAATAAGGGAGATTTTATTTGACTTTTCAAATTTCTTGCACTGTAAAATTGAAAAAAAGTTTTTGAGGATCTAGCTTTCAATGAAAACCTGTTAATAAATCATTTTTCTGATAATATGCTCTTCATAAAGTTCCATGAAACTGAATATTTTTTGCAAATATACACTCCACAAATTATAGTCAGTAGTGGAAGAAGTGTTTAGATATAAAAATAATGGAGTTTGCAGTAATAGGTCTGCATTTTAACAGTATTTAAACATTAATTTAGATAAACTGAAGCATGTTGTTTTGTTGAAGAACAAGTATTTAAATCATACAGAAATGAAATTATTATTTTGAAATGTGGGCAAGGAGATGTTACTGGATACTTAATACACATGTTACATTCAGATACTATTCTGTAAGGCTAACCTATGCTAACAGAATATCTGTTTGAAATATTTTTATGTATCATATGCATCCATAGTCAGTAGCTGACAAATAAATAATTGTAGAGACAAGATGATTTTTTTCACTGAGTCATCACAGCTTGATAAGTCATTTTAATTATTTTGCGATGCGTATTTAAAAGACAGCAATTTGTTATGAGCTCCAGGCTGAGACAAAGTAAACTTACAGGACTGACAAGGCTGTGCCAATAGAGTGAATCTGCTTCTAGACATTGCAGCTAGATATTTCTTACAGATTTTTTTTCTTCTTACTCTATTTCTCTCTGTAGAGGTCCTTCTGTAGTGCCATGGTAGAGGAGCTAAGGATGTCTCTGAAGTGTCAGCGTCGATTAAAACACAAGCCACAGGCCCCTGTTATTGTGAAAACAGAAGAAGTTATCAACATGCACACGTTTAACGACAGAAGGTTGCCAGGTAAAGAAACCATGGCATAGACCTGGGAAGCCAAATACCCCAAGCACAAACTGTCGTCTTTTTTCCAAACAACTTTGCGAGAATGTTTCCTGTGGAAATATGCAACCTGTGCAAAATAAAATGAGTTACCTCATGCCGCTGTGTCTATGAACTAGAGACTCTGTGATCTCAGCAGTTGCAATGGCCAGACTCGAATCACAAGCATCATGGATCAATCAAGTTATGCGGGGTTACACTGTTCGTCATGGGTTTCCACCATTCTGAATGAGTGAATGTTCCATCTGAGTTTTGTGGCTGGTTTCAAATGCAGTCTCAGTGAAAAATTACAGGTTCCTTTTGAAGTTCAACAGTTGCCAGGATATGGAGAATAAATGTCCAAGACGATACTAACCATGGAAGGAGTCTAGTAAAAGTAGTGTCTCAGAACTGTAGTGGAACAAGAAACCATATGTTCTTCTGAACTTCCAGGCACAGAAGAGTTGGTAACTGCTGGTAGACTGAAACTACCATCTGGACAGGCAATATGAGCTTCCTGGATAGGAAAAATGTTAAAGTGAAGAAACATGAATCCCATGAATAGAAGGATAAATATGAGAATGCTCACCTGCGTTTTGGACTGTCTGTGTCACTGAACTAAGTAAATAAATAATAATTAAAAAAAAATCAGTAACTTAAATTTACATGGGCTGGAACTTTGATCTAAAACAGCAAAAAAGTCCATAATTTTGACCCAATTTTTTGATGAATGAAAGTTTCCTTAGTACAAAGGAATGTATCTTACAACCTTTAGACATAAGCAATTACTTTTTTTCTTTAATTGTGGAGGGGGGGGGGAGCAGTGTATTTCACACATAGAGGGCTTGCATTTTAGCCTGAATGGGTTTTGAAACCCTTGTTCCTGCTACTAATTGAACTCAATGGAGCCTGTGCAAGTCTCGCTAATATTGGAAGTGGGATGGGTCACCTAAAAGTAGTGAATGTGGAGAACTTTAAGGAGGACTGCATTTTTCAATACAGTCACAGTACTATAATGAACAAAATTCTTGAGCAGTTTTTTTTTTTCAAAAAAAAAATGTTCAGGTTTATTTGTGGAAATGCAAGATTTCTATGAAAATAGTTTTTGTATGGAAATTTTTGTAATACTTTTTATCAACAAAATAAGAACATGTGTTTCTGTCAGGGGTGTGATGCCAAGCATGAATGGTAGTGCGTGTGCACCACCAACGTTTGGTGAAAACTATTTTTATCAAGAAAAAGGAATCTTAGAAGAGACATATTTTCAAGTTAGATAATATAACAAATAGGTGCACTACCACCACTGCTTACCATGTTACACCCCTGGTTTCCACTAGGCTGATAACATGCTGTCATGAAAATTGTGTGTAAATGGTAAAAGACACAGACCTCTTGACCACATTGTGATAACAGTTAAAGTGCACTCAGTTTGCTGTTCGAATTCAATGCACAAAATTAAAAAAAAACAAACAAAACCCACACATTAAAATTATGTCAGTTTTAGTTGTTCTGTTTTTGCTGTGTGATTTGAGCAACAGTACTTTGTGTTAGTACTGGTACTTAGCCTCAGCTTAGTGCCCTATCCTGCCAATTCTTGCCACTAAACATGTGGCCAGAGAGTTTGCTAGGATTTCCGAGAGAAGCCAGTACAGCACATTGTGATGTTTTTGCAGGATCTGTCTCTTAGCTGCATCAAATCTAATTCATATGTCCTGCCTGTGGTGATTTCCTGGACATAACATTTTGAAACACTGCCCTACAGGTGCTGAATCTTGCATCTCTGTGTACTGTAAATTTATTTGTATCTCAAAAAAACATGTATAGGATTGGTTATGTAGGAATGTTATGTCAACTGAAAAAGATTATGAAGATGGTCTTCTTTATATGGAAAATAATTCATTTGACTAATTTAAAAAAATTCTTAAAATTATCATAGATAATCAGTCATTGGTGAATAATGAGATCATTTGTTTACTGGGGCTTAATTTAATCTTGTCATCATCTTTCTAGCACAGGAGTACAACATATATCATTTAAATTGTAGAAAGTATATCATGAAATTTGGCGGGGAAAGGGGAGGTTTGTGTCTACTACCCAGTTCTCAAAAATCTTCATAGAGACTGAGCTGGCCATTTCCATTGTGAACAGGGACTGAGAAAGCAAATTCTCTTATATTTGTGAGAGTTTCATCCCCATTTATGTGATAACAAAGAACAGGTTATCTTTGTCTGAAGCATAAAAAAGATAAAAACACATTCAGCAAAGATTCTGAAAATGGGTATACTTATGTAATACATATTTAAGTTTAAGTTAATTCTTTAAAATGCAAAGGGGAAGAAAATAACTGTCATACAACACAATGAAAACTCCCAATTATGATGGTTTGGAATGAAACAAGAATTGGCTATTGAATTTTCTTGGTGATTTACAATAAAATTTGTAAATTCATGTAATAAAATGTTGTATTATATTGAAACAAAGCTTTCTTTTCTCCATGAAGGGTGGTGAAATACGCAAGATTCCATTCTTACCTTGATGCACATGACTAATTCTCCTTAAACTTTATGAGAGCCAAAGTAAGTGTGAATGCAGAATATGTCCCAAAGGTTTTATTTGGTCAAAGTCCCCCGAGGAACAAAAATGCTAACATAGAAGTAGTGTGACTTAATTACGATTTCGTAGAGAATTTCAGCCTTCTGTTATTAAAGGAAATATGCAAAGTACCTGGAGATTTGTATTTAAGATCAAGACTAGAAATGCATGGCTCCACAGATTCATAGTAGGATAATGCCTTTTTTGAAAAATCATACACCAATTCATACTGTTACTTTGTTCTGCATTAGTAATTATTTCTGTGTTTTTCACAGAAAATTAAGACATTTAAGGAAAAAAATTACTAACAGAGTTGATCCCCAAAGCAGTAGAAAATACTACTGGAACTTTTGTACTCCGTAAAGCTCAATGGTTCATTTTCCTTTCACTGTTATAAAGGAGATCCTCAATTCTGAAGAAAACTTCGTCATTTTGAAAAACCTCTTAATGACTAGTCCCAAATTCCCAAATTCTCATGTAGTATAAATTTCTAGAGTGTCATTAAAGTCAATAGAACTACATCAGCTAAAATCAAGTGAGTATCTGGCCCATGAAGATTCAGAATCTGTACATAACTGCTTCATGTAGTTTCATATAACAACTCAGTTAGTCTACTGATTTCCCAGGACAGAATGATGGGTGCTTCTCTGACTAACCTTGGATGTCAGTCTAGAGAAGTATTTTAAAGCAGTTATATGATGCTACCTGGTGGATGACAATTTGAGGTAAAAACTGAACAGGACTTCTTTTTTTTTAACTGTATCTGTTTCAAGGAAGACAGACATCCATCATCTTTAAGAATTCTCAAGACACACAATTTAGATCTTCAGGTTCCTTCATCATGGTTATATAGTAATATGTAACTATATGGTTATTACAGAATAAATGCTTATTGATAAATGTTGTTTGTGAAGAACCAGTTGTGAAAATTCTGAGCCAAATAGTTGGATGAAATCAAGAGATATGTGGTGCTTTATAGTAAACAAGGATTTGGCCAATTATAGACACCAGCAGGCCATTTTATAGTATTCTCCTATATTATAGTATTCTCCTACTGCAAATACAAACATATCCAGGAAGTATCTGGCAGATTTTGTATGAGATCACTTTCTGAAGTTTCTATCTCAATTTTTAGTTGAAGAATTCAGTATAGGTTTGAAAGAACCTTTTGTTTCATGTTTATATTAGACTTTCTATGCATTAATCCTTCCTGGTTTGATCCATAGAGTCTTCCAAAAAAAACCAAAATAACACTGTTTAGCCCTACTACACTAACTAGTTAATATTTCAGAATGGAAAAGACATAATTTATGAAGAAAAAAACCCCACCAAAATCCAAAGCCTCAAACAGAAGTAGGAGAAATACCCTGATATTCTACAAAGTCAAAATGTTTTCAGGTAAAAGGGGTCATGAGCAGAGAAAATGCCATGCAAAGAGGTAAAAGGTAATGATATAAAATACTTTTGTATTATTATTATTATATTATGGAAATTAGAAAAATATTTGAAGTACTTTAGACACAACTTCACTTAGTCTCTAAATACATTAGAGTCTCCAAAACCATCAACCAACACAAAATGATGATTGAAATGCTGACTACCTTGAAAGCAGTGTAAAAACTCCTCCTTCAAAGGAATCAAGATTTTGTCCAATACATCCCCAAATGTGTACTGACACAATATTAAAGGCAAAATAGCATACCAGCCTGAGTTTAGGTGTGAGTTTTGTTATATTTTCAAAAATGTGTAGAAGAAAGGGTTGCTGAGGTTGACTTGTCTGACATCCAAGATCATTGCGTTCCAACCTCAAATATGTTAGTGTCCTGTTCCCTTCCAGTCTTGCCTCTTTGTCTTCCTACAAACACCTCTGACACTTTCAAATTTATTTTCAAAACCCTTTTCTTTTGGCTTTCCTATAAAATGTAGTTCTAATTAAAAATAAAGTTACTCAAGCACCACATCTCCCCAGTTTGTATCCACCAAGATAAACACACTAGCTTTTCATGTGACTGTAATCTAATTGTCCTTCTTTTCATTTACTACCCCTCTCTGTCCCCTGCCTGTGTTTTCTTCTCCTGTTGTTCTTGTACTTGCCTAGACTGTAAGCTCTTAGGGGGCAGGGAATCTGTCTTTGATTTGTTCCATGTAGCACCATGAACTATGGAGCTATATAAATAATAAAAGAAGTAGATCTTCTTAAATGATGTTTGAAGTGATAGTGATCTGATTGACTGCCAGTCTAGTAATATATTGTTTTAGTTCATTGCCTGAAATCCTAATCGCTACAGCAATAGAAATATCAAAAAATAAAAATAATAAAACCAACCCAAAGGAGCTATCACACCCACTCATCTTACTGGAAATTTCCCTGCATGGTCAGAGCATAGGAATATAGAACATAATGTTCACATAACTTCTATAAAGGTTTTAATAAGAAATCAGCTACATTAAAAATGGAAAAAGAAGGTTAACATATAAAAAGAAGAGTTATATGCATGATGAGCTTTGCAAAGAGAACTTTTAATTCATTTAAGCTTGGAAAAACTATGATTAAGCAATTTGTCAAGTTGAACATCAGGCACCTTGTCTTCCTTCTTGTATTTGCCCCCTTAGATCAACAAGCCTCTCATTATCACAATTTATGCCAACCTTATTTTATTAATTATTGTATGAAAATCATTAGAAATTTTTTATGAAATATAATTCTAATTAAAACTAAAGAAATACTTCCTTTTGTTCCTATCCAACAACAGTAACTTTCTACAACTACTGGAATGACAGAATTGTGGGA